CGAGGAAGACCCCTTCAACCCGCAGGCGCGTCGCATCGCCACCCACAACCCGGCCCGGGGGCAGCTCCGCAGCTTCTGCAGCTACAGCAGCAGCCTGGGCAGCCAGAGCAGCCTGCACCCCCCGGCGCAGACCATCTCCAACGCCCCTGTCTCCGAGTACATGTGAGACCCCCTTCCTCGGAGGCGCTGACCCTTGGGTCCCCCCACCTCGGGGATGGAACGTCGCCCCACGTCGGGGCCATGGGACGATGGTGGGGGTCTTGCTGTGCCCCCCACTCTGACGGGCCAGAGCAGCTGCACCCCCCGGCGCAGACCATCTCCAACGCCCCCGTCTCCGAGTACATGTGAGACCCCCCTTCCTCGGAGGCGCTGACCCTTGGGTCCCCCCACCTCGGGGATGGAACGTCGCCCCACGTCGGGGCCATGGGACGATGGTGGGGGTCTTGCTGTGCCCCCCACTCTGACGGGCTCTTCCCCTCCAGGAACCAAGCCGTGCTCTTTGGTGGAAACCCGCGCTACGAGAATGTCCCCCTGATGGGCAGAGGCTCTCCTCCTCCCACGGTACAGTGGACGGCCGAGGCCCGGGTGAGCTTGGCCCCCTCCTCCTGCCCTTGCAGAGGACGTGCCCTACCTGCGAGCGCATCCCTCCTGCCCGTCTCGCTAACCCAGTTCCCGGCTGGCCCGCGGAGGCTGCGGGGAGAGGTCACCAACCACATGCTCGGAGGAGACCAAAATAGTCTTCCCTTCAGCTGCTCTTCTCTGTCTGCTTTATTTCTTATTTATTCTGACTTTCAGAGGACGCTTTCCGCAGTCACCCATGCATGTTTACATTTCCCCGCTGTTTGTTTAAACCCACCCTGTCTGTTAACGCCTGCTTTTTTGTTTTGTTTTGTTTTTTGCATCAATTATTTTGGAGCTAAGTTGCCCATCAAGAGTAAGTTCAGCCGCTTCCTTCTCCCTCCTCGTCTTGGGGCAGCAGCTGGGTTCCCATCCTCCTTCCCCTCCTCGGGGCCTCCCTCCATCCCCTTTCCCGTGGGGCTGGTTTGCTTTCGGGAAGAGTACGGAGGGCTCGGGAGGGACCTGGCCACGTTATGTCCCCAGCCCAGGTACAAGAGGATTTACAGCTCCCGCGTGTTGGGAGTGGAAATGGTCCCTATCTCCACCCCCTTCTTGGCGCAGTTCTTCCCCCTCCTTTTCTGACAGCATTTAATCTGCTTCGATGCCTCCATCCGAAGCAGTAATGCCCTCCCCGGCTCGCCCCTCACGGGCACGGCGGTGGCATCGCGGTGGGGCCGGGGACGTGGCTCCGGGCATGCTGCCGCAGCAGGGACACCGTGCTCGCCTCTTCCGGGGAAGATTTTTGCCGTCAGGTGAAAGCGTGGAGCTGCGCCAGCGTGGGAGGCTGGAATCCGATTGTGCAGACCTGGCAGCTGGCGAGCCTCTTCTCCGGGGCGGGGGGGGAGGATTAATTTGGGCACTTCTCCCCACCCTGAATGGTCTAATTTAACCAGGATTCAGATCCCTGAGGAAGGACTTTCACAGTCCAAAATAACAAACTCAGAATAATCTTCCTTAATGCCTGGCTGGGGTGTCCCTCCCTCCTGCAAAATGCTGGAGAAATTTAATTCTGCAGCGTTGGCGGGGTGTGGGGGGCTGGAGGTTTTGGCCTCTGCCCTGGGCTCACCGCTACCCTCTTCCCGGTGTGGCGGGGGGACCTTGCCCTGATTGGGGAGCCCCAGGGGGTTCAGCCTGCAGCAGTTGCCGGTGCAGGCACCCAGTGAGCCCCGGCACACCCAGGGTGAGGTTTGTGTGTGGACAGGGAAGACCAGGGGGCAAAACCCAGCTCAGCTGCTGCAGAGATCCAGCCCCGAGCCTGGGTGCTCCCATGTGTCAGGGCTAAACCCCATCCCGCTCCACCGGCGTGCCAGCCCAAGCCAGTGCCTGCGGTACCACCGTCCCCGTGCCGGCGCAGGGAGGGGAGCTCAAGCCCGTGGCTGGCATCCCGGTGTCAGCCCCTCGGCATCGGATGCATCCAGACTCGGTGATTGGGGCTGAATTTGCTGCTAGGCTGGAGTCGGGAAGGTGGAGGACGAACTTGGCCGACATCCTGTCAGTGCAGGAAGGGGCAAAGCAGAGCCTGAGGGACTTGAAGTGTCCTGGCTGGGGGGGTCTCTTCTCTTCCAGCCCTCAAAGAGGCTGTGACCAGGATCTGGCCCCCTTACCCATGGCAGCCTGGCAGATTAATTGGGGATTAATACAAATGGGAAGCGATCTTCCCTCTCCATCCTCAGGCTTTCTCTGGCGGCTCAGCGGCACGTGGCGGTGCAGGGGTTGGGTTGGACGTGGCTGGCGGGGG